TAGGGGTTATATTTTATATATTCCTACTCTCAGAGAGTAAGATCATGAGCAATCTCAACCTCAAAGAAGCATTCGTGAACCAATTCCTCATCATCAATTCGAGATTAAGGGGGAAGCGTTCATGATTGCTCCACAAGATGATGAAGAACCTAAAATATTCAGTCATACTCTATCTAGTCTTAAAGTAAGTGAATGGATTAAAGTTATGGAAGAAGAAATTGAGTCAATAAAAATTAATCAAGTTTGGGACTTGGTTGATTTACAGTCAGGACGAAGATCCATTAGAAATAAATGGGTTCTTAGAATTAAATGTAAAGTGAATGGGTCAATAGAACGTTATAAGGATTGACGAGTAGGGAAAGGCTACACTCAAGAAAAGGGAATTGATTATGAAGATACATTCTCAACAACTGTGAGGATTACTTTAGTTCATCTCATTTTAGCTATAATTGTATATATGGACCTAGAGTTATACCAAATGGATGTTAGAACTATGTTTCTTAATGGAGAACTAAATGAGGAGATCTATATGGATCAATCTTTAGGATTTGAGACTAGAGGACAAGAGCGCAAAGTTTGGAAGCTTAAAAGATCTATTTATGGTCTTAAACAAACCTCTAGACAATGAAATGTCAAGTTTCATCAAGCTATCCTTAAGGATGGTTTTACAATGATGGAAGAAGATTAATGCATATATTTAAAATGTTCTAGCAATAGTTTTATAATATCGTCCTTATATGTTGACAACATCTTAATAGCTGGAAACAGCAAAGAGATGATTGATACTACTAAAAGGTGGTTATCATCAAACTTTAAAATGAAAGACATGGGTGAGGCTATGTTCTTGGTGTGAAAATCATAAGAGATCGAGCTAAAAGGCTTTAGGATTTAACTCAAGAGACTTACATCAAAAAGATATTAGAGCACTATCATATGCAAGATAACAAACCAATGGATACCCCTGTTGATAAAAGTTTGAGCATAAGCCATGATATGTGTCTTAATACTATAGAAGAAAAGGAGAAAATATCCAGATTACGTGATATGTGTCTTAATACTCTAGAAGAAAAGGAGAAAATATCCAGATTACCTTATGCCAGTGTTGTCAGTAGTTTGATATATGCAATGATGTGCACATGTCTTGATATATGTTATGTTGTTGGATTGGTTAGATGATATCAATCAAAAAATGGATGGCAGTTAAAAGAATTCTATGATATTTGAAAGGAACTTTAAATTACATGTTATGTTACTAAGAAAAGAAAGACTTATGATTGATTGGTTTCTCTGATGTTGATTGGGGAGGAGATGTCGACCAATCAAAATCAATTTCAGGATGTGTTTTCCTGCTTAATGATAGTGCAATACTATGAAGGAGCAAGAAATAATATTGTATAGCTTTATCTATCATGGAGGTTGAGTATATAGCTTGTTTCGCAGCAACACAAGATGTTGTTTGGTTAAAAAATTTCCTGTATCATTTGAAAATTATCAATCAACATCAGACTCAGTGACAATTTACTATGATAACACTGCTACAATAGTTGTGGCCAAAGATCCAAAATACCATGGAAAGACCAAACATATCAAGATGAGATATCACTACATTAGAGAAGTAGTTACTAACTAAGATATGATCCTGAAACATATTTTTACAAATTCTATGGTTACAGATCCACTCACAAAACTAATAGCAAGGGATGTATTTGTTAAACATGTGAGATCTCTTGGCTTATGTAGAATGTAATTAGTAATATAATTAGTTTTAAGGATCATATGAAAGTTTACAATGATTGAGTAATGAATAAATATCATTAAAATATCATTTTATTCACTATTTTTTATTGATTATATTAAGTATCGTATAATATAATTTATTAAAGTATATCGATAAACGACTTAGATTGGCTCACTCATATGAGCAATCACCTCTAGCACTTGTAAGGTGAGTAGAGATGTGATTATTTGAGTTTTAATGATCAATAAGTGACTTGGACATAGTGGAAGCAATTTTAACTTAAAATGATTATTAAAAAGTCACCTTGGCTAGGACCAAGATGAGGTTCTTAAATAAAAGAATTGCATTGAATGAAAACCCACCATTCATGTGTCTATTATGATTGAAACCGAGTATGAAATTATTCATCTACCACTAATGACAAATGAGCAAATGAGAATTTCTTATTTGAAGTCTATGTTTTTAGCAACAAGATTAAGACTCGTATAGTGTATTTCCTCTAACAAGGAAAGCAAAGACATACAATCTTTGTCTTAAAAAATGAAAAGAGTAAGCTCCACTATAGTATGCATTTCATACTACATGTGCTAACAACCATTACAGGAATAAAGAATGGATCCCTGCTTCTTTATTATGTGAGTCCTGAAGATCATATTTAAACCTCAAAATCTTACCTTTTGTGACATTTGACTATATCATAAAGTGATGTATTAATGATCGCTACTTTAGGAGTATATTCTATTGACATGACCAAAAGATTGATGTCTTCCTGCAAATGAAAGAGTGTCGAAGTAATAAATAACCTAGTAAGACTAGGGTCGAACCACAAGGAGGTTAATTGTATAAGTTATAAATAACACTAATACAACAACAACAAAAACAACAACAACAACAACAACAATAGTAATTATAATTGTAATAGTAGTGATAGTAATAGTAATAGTAATAGTAATAGTAATAGTAATATAATAAAAAAAGAAGAAGAAGAAGAAGTTGATGAGAACTTTGAGATGAAAAATTAATATGAGGATTAAACAATGATAACAATAAATGTCAAGGTTAGAGGATTTAATAAATATTATTTCTCAAATGAAAACCACACACAAAGAAGGTTTTAATTAGATTATAAGTTATTAATATGAGTACATTAGTTATCTTATTCGAATAATA